CTCAAAAAAAAAATTCCCCTAGGAGCAGTGGCAGACAAGATTCACACTCAGAGCTCAGTGCACGTTTGTTTCTCGGAGGGGAAACAGACAAAACGTGTTTGGCAATGGGCTACTTGAGGACCCAATGCAAACGTTGAAAGGGGATTTTCACCCCTTCATTTCAGCAAAATGGACAAATGAGAGGTTATAAGCTAAATGTAGATTCAGTTTAAAGGTTTGCTGCTAGTAAAATACCATTTTAATCATTTTGTCTTGCTCAGAGGTCTATAAGTATATTTCAAGCCAACAAGGCATTTTAACAAAGATAAGTTCATCAGAAAAATACAATTGAGTATATAATATACATACTCAATATATATATATAGTATTATTATATTCAATATTCTTATTCTTAGTCTTATCTCATTATTATTATTATTAGTAGCAGTAGTACTAGTAGTAGCATATTATATAGCACTTAAAGTAGTGTCAAGCTGCCATATTTCTACAGTCTAAATGCAGCCTCAGTCTACAAAAGTGTATGCTAGAAGTTTCACACAGTTAGTCTCAAAGGTGCTACAAGATCCCTCTGCATACAGATATTCCTAATTGACACAACTTTGGGGAAAACAGACCAGCAAAATGTGGCATCTTCCCGGCGGCTTGGGAATGTGGCATATGCATGACGCATGCCCCCAAGATGCCGGGAACATGCCATGAAGCCCACATGGTGGCAGTTTTTTGGCACTCCAGCGACACGGCATTTAGACACCGTATGCCACAGGAATGCAGAAAAACTGACACTACAGCGGCAAAGACGGCTTTTTCCCAGCTCAAAAAGAGCGGCTTTTTGCTTCTTTTGGAGCCAGGAAAATGCCAGGTTGGGGATGTGGCATGCAGCTGCCATAGCCCCAATTCATCGATCAAATGATGGTGTGATGCCACCTCTTCAGGGCCCTCTGTTTTTTTAAAAATTATTCTTTTTAAATTTTCCTTAAAAACATCACTTTTTAACCAAATCTTCACTATGTTTTATGTAAATACATTTGGGTTGTATGTATGGTATTGTAATTTGAAGGTATAAGTTAAATTTTGCTATTTGTTTATGTCGCAACTGTTAGCATTACATTCGATGGTATATGGGAATTAGAATTTACGAGTAACATTAGTGTAAAAAAGCAATACTAAGGATTCTGTATGGAGTGAAATGGGAGGAGGTCAATGCGGGGGTGACACTATGAGTTCCCGCACCAGGTGACACCAACCATAGTGACACCATTATTTGGAGGGGATGTTTGCCACCTTGGAAGGAAGGACAACATTTAATAGGCTTAAGATGCAGAATGGTAGATGCTTGTTGAACATTAGGAGAAATTTTATGATGGTAGGAGACATTTTTAAAGCATCTGCAGAAGTGGGATGGCAAAGGATTAATTGGGTCTGTCTCTGCAAAATGGGGACATCTGGAAGATATGCCATAGTCAAAGGAATTACGTTTTGACTAGGCTTACATTTGGACTAATCAGAACTCCTGAAAGTAAAGCCCAGGAGAGTAACTGAAAGCAGCTGTTCCTCCTCCAGGCCTTGGTGACACCTCTTTAACTCCCATGGCTCTGTCCTATAAAATCCTGGGATTTGTAGTTTGGTGAGGTACTGGTACTTCTCATTCTTCTTCCACCAAACTTCCATCAAGCACCGCTATGAAGGAGATGACTTGAAGCCTTCCTGATTAGTTTTTGAAAAGCATACACACACACACACACAATATGCAGTCATCGACTTAATATGTTCAATTAAACAAATTAAGGCATCTTGCATAAGCATGCTGTAATTTAATAATTATATTTAATTATAGCATATGTAGATAGGAACACTTTGTTTCTCTTTAAAGTGCAGACAGAGACGCTAGCAAAGAAATGCAACCCTATTATATAGTAGTAGTATTCTTAATATATTTGCACACAGCACTGTACACTGGGCAAATGCCTTCCAATTTTAAAGGCAGTGAAGACTCCGTACTGTAGATGGAAATCCTTAAAGCCTTTATTTTTACCTTGACTGCAAATCTTGCCTGCAAGATCACCTCCATGAGTGCCTCTACCTTGTAGAAATAAAGCAGTTCGACACCCTTTAAGTGATGTAGCTCCATCCTATGGAAATCCTGGGATTTTTAGTTTTTTTCAAGATCTTTAGTCTGCTCTGCCAAAGAGTGTTAGTGTCTTACCAAACTACAAATCCCAGGATTTTGTAGGATGGAGCTATGGGAGTTAAAGAGGTGTCAGATTGCATTGCAATTGGCCCTCCACATTTGCGGCTTTGGCTTTTACAGATTTGATTATTTGCAGTTTTGATTAATATGTTCCCTCTAGGAAACTCTAGGTCCTCCAGCACAATTCTGTCAAAAGTTGACCATAGAGTTGTGCTGGATAACCTAGAGCTTTCTAGGGAAAACACTTTTCTAGGCATTTGTAGGTATTCCAGCATGATTCTATGATCAACTTCTGGCCGATGTTGACCACAGAGTTGCACTGGAGGACCTGGATATTCCTAGAGAGGTGATCTCTTAGGTAAAAAGAATACTGTTGTTTTTTTTAAATATTTGTGATTTTTCCACATTCACAGGGGTCCTTCACTCCAAACGTCAGCAAAAGTGGAGGGCCCACTATATTTCTCCAATGTAGATGCAACCTATTTGCAATTACCTTCCCCTTGTGCAATGGCAATTTAGATGCTAGAAGGAAAATGGGGGAAGTAACTAGGTCGGGGCCGGCTATATTCCAGCATCTACCTGCAGGAAGAAAAACCTCCCAGGGATCCTCCAGAACTCTGAGAGAATTACACTGTCTTCCTACAACCAGCTGTTGAAATATAGCCAGCTGCTGCCTGACCATTCTGTATCCTCCCAGCCATGAAATAGACATGTGGCATGTGGCAAGGGCAGACATATAGGCTGAGCATGCAGGGAGGTGAAGGAAGAGGAGCTATAACTGTTTGAGCTTTATATTCCACCAATGTGATCCAGGATCTTGGGCAACCCTTTGAGAAGGTTCTTCTGGGGGTTGGTCTACACATAAGTGTATTGTGCAAATTGGTGCACATTTTTGCACCTTCACATGGATGGTTAATTGTCTTCACTTTCCAGTGAAGTTTGTATCCGTTTGCACCTATTCACACTCCCTCTGCTGAAAATGCACAGCCATTCGAATGTGGGTGAAGCAAATGGATGGCCACATTTGCAACAATGTGCATGTCTGTGGATTTTGGCAGATATTCCAGTAAAAAAGTGAATCCTTTTTCCATGGAGTTTAAGGAGTCTTTCAGGCCCCTCCCCACAAAAAGTGCAAGCTCCTGTAAACTGCGTGTGGCCAGATCGCATTCTGTTCAACTGGAATGAGGAATATTTTAAACATGTAGACTAGCCTTGGATTAAAGCCAGAGTTTGGTGAAAAGTTTTGAGGGGAAGGAAGATTTGAACTGGAAACAATACTCATAAGTATAATTTTATCAGTGAAAGGCAGAGATGGGAAACCCATGTGGGCCCAAAGATGTTACTTCATTGCAGAACCATCATTCCTAACCATTTCTCACTATGGCTGCATCTACACTACAGAAGTATTGCAGTTTGACATCACTTTAACTTTAACATGACACCACTTTAACATGGCTGCGTGCTATGGAATTTGGGGATTTGTTGTTCTGCAAGCTATTTCACCTTCTCTGTCAGAGAGCTCTGGTGCCACAACAAACTACAAAGCCCAGGATTCCATAGAGTAAAGCCATGACAGTTAAAATGGTGCCAAACTGCATTAATTTTGCAATATGGCAGCAGCCTGAAATGCTTAGCCCTTCCTTACTGGTCTTTTGGGACAATACCGCACTACACTGTTATAGCACTATAATCCCACTTTTACTGCTATGGTTGCCTCCTGTGGAATTCTGGGGTTTGTTGTTTAGTGAGGCCTAAGAGCTCTCTAGCTGAGAATTTTAAATGCCTTTTCCTAAGTTGCAAATCCCAGGATTCTACAGGAGGCAGTTATCACAGTAAAAGTGGAATAATAGTGCTAGAATAGTCTAGTGTGGTATTATCCACAGTCTTTTTGGTGTCATCTTTTCTGCCTTTGGTGCTACCTACCACTGGAACACAGCACCTGGGAGCTTCTTCAAAGTTTTAACTCAGCCCTTGTGCTCAAAAACCTTTGATACTCTTGTTTAACACCATAATTTGTGCTATGCTGGCTGCTAGAACTTGTTCCCCAAAATATCTGATGGGGACCAGGTTGCAGAAGATCCCTTGTGCCATTGCATGGTGGTTTCCTAACTTTTGTTCAGTTTTTCTCTCTGGGTACTGAATCTAGAAGGAAGAGATATCCATCCAATATTGTGCCTGTTCATTTACATCTATCTGAGAAATTGCAGAATGTTTAAAAACAATCAGGTGTTCCCTTCAGGGATCAGTGCCAATGAATTTGAGACAGTGAACTTCAATAAAGACATATTGGGTTGTTTCAGGGTGGTTGGGGCTTTCCCCTTTTCTTCCCCCCCCCCTTTTCATGGTTATTTTTTCAAGTCATTCTGAAATGTGTGGGTTGAATGCAAATCAGAGTGTTGCCGATGAGGAGGCATCTTACTAACAATTGATGATAATTCACCATTTCCTGGGATTCACTTTCTTCTTTGGTCTTACAGGAAGGACTGAATAATGAAACCAGCATGGGGTAGGAAGTGATGGCAATGCATGAGTGTGTGTGAGAGAGAGAGAGAGACAGGGAGGGAGGGAGAGAACGTGAGAGAGCGAAAGAATATGACCCTGTTTGCAAGGGCCATATAAAATGTCCTCCCCCTGTTCTCTCAGCGGAGAGATTGGATGATGCATGGCACAGAACCAGGGCATATTCTTCTCACTGTTATTATTGTGTGCCTTAAAATCATTTCTGATTTATGGTGACCCTAAAGGCAAACATTTCATGGGGCTTTCTGGGACTGTGTGTGTGATTCACCCAAGGTCACCCAGTGGGTTTCCATGGCTGAGCAGGGAATCGAACCCTGGTCTCCAGAGTCATAGTCTAATGCTCAAATCACTGCACCACAGTGTCACCCAACACACATTAAAATACATCTCTGTTTTCTCCAGATCTTCTCCATTCAGGCACTGGCAGAGTTGCTTAAAATGCATCACACTGAGCCTCCCAACACTGGCACAGATGATGCCAGTCACTTGCTCTGAGGTCAGAACAAGGTGCCCAACCATGTGATCCCTCCCTGGGCACCTTGGGAACCCAAAGGATGCACATATGAGCAGCTGTCTGGTGGTGGAACAGAGGGCAAAGTGAAGGCAAGAGGTCAGGGCAGCTCTTGGACCAGGATATTCTGGGCTGCCTTCACAGTATCCTGGCCCATGCAGACAAGACTCAAAAGAGGTTAAACTATCATAGCTCTGGCACATCTCTAGCATACTCACCTGGAAGCATATAGAACAGATGTGGGCAAAGTATATGCAATCACCTTTTGTAGCCAAGCTGCAAGGAAATCCCTTTTGTACCCCCCCAAAAGATCCCTCTAATTCCCCAAAATGACCCCCCAAACAATTTTTTTAAAGTTTGCTGTCATTTTTAAGCAATTTTTGCCTTAAAGCTGTTTTCAAAATCCTCCAATGGACAAAAACATATTAAAATACCCCCACAAGCCTATTCTGTCGCCAAATGCCCCCATCTTCTTCCATCGTCACTTTCAAAATGGTGACAGGAAAAGAAACTCCTTCACTTCCTGTAACCATTTTGAGAAGATCTTGTTCTTGTTGTAGTCCACTGGACAGTTGGGGTGGTCCCTGCCTCTACACCGTTGCCCACCGTTGATGTAAAATCTACATTTTATAGCAAAGGTGAAAAAAGGCAGGTTGTTATTTGCTGGCACATCTTTGAGTTAGAACGTGACAGAGCTAGAGGAAATTCATTAACCATACTTGATTCAGACAATGAAATAAATGGGCCAGGCATGAAGTACTGGTGCCATGAATCGACACTCATGTATCCGCATTAGTTCACGACAATTAGAAAACCCAAAAGAGGTTGAAATACAGTGTAAATTCAATTGCCATTATTATCCACAGTACTACAGTACTATCTTTGTCCCTCTGCTCAGCTGAGGGTGTGGAGATTGGGTTCAGTAAAAGAGAAGAAAATCAAAAGGGTGATAGGAACAAACTAAGAATTATGAATGCAGAGCACTGGAGTCTTGGAGATGTCTCATCCATAGGGCCACCATGAGTCAAGATTGCCTTGAGAGCAGTTAACAAAACTACAGTACCATACCATGCGTTCTCTGACCAAAGAGCAGTGCTCCATATTCAAAGTGATGGCAAGACTGGAACCAGCACCTCTATTCATTTAATTTTGGCCTAGTTCCATTCAAGCAAGCAAGCAAGTCCATCATTATTTTATTTTATTTTATTTTTAACCTGCCTTTCTCCCAAAGTGGGACCCAAGGTGGCTAGCAACATATATTAGGCTACAGTTTTTCTCATGCTCTGAGACATTGAGCATGAATCTCCATAAGGCTTTGCCCTGAAGGCCGTTCTGCAGAGCTCATCCCAGGAACTATTGGTTGATAGCAACGGGGCTGTGTGAAACCAATTAACAAGCCTCTGAAATGCTTGTCTAATGCTTTGAGAGTGGCTTCTAATGAGGGATAATGATGACAAGCATGGAGGATCTCTTGTTAACTTGGGCTAATGATGCAAATGTGGGAAAGGTCAATAAGTATTAGCAGATTCATTGATGGCCATTTCATTTCCATCCATTCTCTAGTTCAGGTTTTTTAAATAGTCTGTTCTGAGTAATGCTCTAGGGTGGGTGTTCTTCCTTTCCTTCAAGAACTCCTACTTGTGTCACTGGCAGCTTCCCTCTTTATCTTGAGAAAATGACACTCAAGCTCTAAGAATGGTCTCACTGTTTCAGATACAGAAACTCAGGTCTTGGAAGAAACACATTACCCTCCTCTTGACTCAGCTTGTAAAGTCTTCAATATGGCAGATCATATCAGAATCTACCCGACATCTGTGTAATCCTTGTTGATAAGCAACCATTGGAGCATTAAGAAAATTCATTCAATTCCATTGCAATTGTTGATCAGATTTTATTGTTGCACTGTAAGCCTGTAGACATTGGCCTCTGAGTCTCAACTAAAATCAATGGAAACCTGATAAACCAACATTTATTTATCAATGTATGTTATATAGATTCAATGGGTCTACTCTATTTGTGACCGGCAATTGGATTGAGACCCATTATTCCCCTTGTTCCCCTCTCTCATATATGAAAATATAAGCAACATAGGTACCTAAAGTGAAGAGATGCAGAAGGATACACACAGATATTAAATCTCAAATATTTGTAGATGGACGATCCTGGATGAAAGAATTATATAATACTATTCAGAGGCCACAACAGCAATGTTTATTTGTAATACTATTTATAAGTTACCTTTCACATCAGAAAAATATCCCACTAGGTAAATCATAATTACAACAATGTTTTCAAGCATGATTGCATCTGGATTCCACCAAAGAATGTATTGGTAATTAATATATCATACGTGTTTGTAAAAAGTTTGGGGCAGATTACATTAAGTGTGGATCTACATGTGTGGAAGTAATGCAGTTTGACACCACTTAAACTGCTATGACTCCATTCTTCAGAATCCTGGGATTTGTTGTTTGCTGAGGCACAGAGCTCTTTGGCAGAGAAGGCTAAAGGCCTTGTAAAACTGCAAATCCCAAGATTCCAGAGGATGGAGCTACAGTACATAAAATATTGTTAAACTGCATTATTTGTTTGTTTAAAATCAAAATTTCTCATTCTCAACAGGAAAAAAATGTCTCAACAGCTCAGAAAGTGATAAACCATAATGCATTTTTGGCATGTTAGGATTTATTATTATTATTATTAATTTGCAAAAGATTTGTTTGAATAGGCAGAATTTTCATGTAAATTGAGGTTTTGTGCAGAGAACAATGTGCTTCATGGAAAAAATGGGTGGGGATACATGAAAAACAAGTTTGGGGCACAAATGAATTTATTTAATTTTTTTATAATACAACTACTAATAAATTTTATTTCTTACCTGCCTTTCCCCAAGGCTTGAGGCAGGATACAACATAGGTAAAAACATATAAAATCATTTAAGCACTGTAAAAGCACTATTAAAAATGCTGTTAAAACATTATTAAAGCACATAGGCACAGAACACATTAAAGTCATCCAGTATAAAATAATATCCTAATTTAAAATTCATAGTTTAAAATCAATTGGGTGGTCTTGCCAGAAGAGACAGATCTTTAATACTTTTTAAAATTCAGACAGCATATTTAGCTGTCAAATCTCTTTTGGCAGGTCATTCCACAGCAGGGGTCGGCAACCTTTTTTGGTGATGGGCTGGGGGGGGGAATGGCGGTGGGGGCCGCTGCGCATGAGAGCGCTTGCCCCCACACATGTGCGCGGGCGCAGCCATTTTAAAAAACAAAATGGCAGCCGCTGCCCCTCCCCGGGTCGCATGCGCATGTGCACGATGGCAGGGTCCCCACAGGAGGGCTCCCTCGGCTGCACTGGTCTACCAAGAGGCCCAGTGTCACTGTGGGGCTCCTCTGGGGCACCATTTTGGAATCCAAATTGGCACCCCAGAGTCTTGCGCAACCTTTCCCGCATCCGGCCCACAGGCTGTAGGTTGCTGACCCCTGTTCCATAGTTTAGGGGCTGCCAATGAAAAAGTCCTCTGAGTGACAGTTGCCAGTATAGGTTAGCTGAAGTAAATGTCACCCAAAGTACCGGACCATATAGGGTGGATTATATGGGAGGAGGCAATCCCGTGGGTAACCTGGACCCAAACCATGAAGGGCTTTATAGTTAATAACCAACCCTTTGTACTTTACCAGAAACTAACTGGCAGCCAGTGGAATGATTTTAATATTGGTGTAACATGATCACTTCTAGATGTACCTGGCTGCCATGTTCTGAACTAATTGAAGTTTTCAAACTTGATACAGAGGTAGCCCAATATAAAGCACATTGCAGAAGTCCAACCTTCGGGTTATCAGTGCATGCATTACCACCTTTAGGTCCTCCAGCTTTTCAAAGGAGCACAGCTGGCATATCAGCTGAAGCTGACAATAAGCACAAATGTTCTAAAATGAGGGGGGGGGGGAACAACTGAAAATTGTGCAGAAAAAAATGTAATCTTTCCCATCAAGAAGAAAACTTCTTAATTTATTTGTTCTTGACATAAATAAGCACTCACATCTCTAAGCTACCTTGTAGTGAGTGAGACCATTGGTCCACCTACGTCAGTGCTGTTCTTATTAACTGTTAGAATTTCACCAAGGTTTCAGACAGGGGTTGAATATGGACCCCTTTACACTCAAAGGCTGCATCTACACTGCCAAGTTAACACACTGCTTTAACTTCCTTGGCTCCATGCTATGGAATTCTGGGATTTGTAGTTTTGCAAGATATGGACATCCCTTCTTATCCACATAGAATCCATTCTCAACCACCACCCCCTGCAGATAACAAAAAATGTGGAACCTTAAATCCATTCATTTAAAACAACGGGCCGTACCATCCACGGAAGCTCAGATCTGTGGATGGCAAGCCCGCAGATAAGAAGAGGCCACTATATTTAGCCTCCCCTATCAAAGAACTCTGTGCCACAACAAACTAATTCCCCACCTGGAATTAAGTGTCTTCCATCTGTTCTCCCATTTCCCCTCTTGTATTCCTAAATAAAAAGTGAAATCATAGCAGATCATTAGGTAGACCAAACCTTCTCAAGACTATTGGTTTACTGCAAAATTTGCAATGGAAATGATCGGATAGATGATAGATAGATAGATAGATAGATAGATAGATAGATAGATAGATAGATAGATAGATAGATAGATGACATTGGCTTCCCTTTCTCAACTCTTTCAAAATTTGCAATGGAAATGATTGGATAGATAGAGAGATAGATGATAAATAGATGACATTGGCTTCCCTTTCTCAACTCTTTCAAAATTTGCAATGGAAATGATTAAGTGAATGGATAGATAGATAGATAGATA